TGTGAACACAGAAGGTACAGAATAACATTAATATGGCTGAGACTTCTGGGAAGAATGGCAGTGCTCTGAAACTGCTGACGTGGCTTTTGTAAGCTTATTGTCGCTGCACAAAGATAAGACGTGCCATTATATTTCTCAGCGGTTAGAATATTAATGCTTTTAGTGGCTCTCCTGTATATACTGATGCTTTTGTGGGAAGTTTGTGGGCTGAAGGAACCTTTTGTGTGTGTGTGTGTGTGTGTGTGTGTGTGTGTGTGTGTGTGTGTGTGTACGTGTTTTTGTGACATATCAGGACACAAATCTGTATAATGACATGGGTATGACACATGTTTTTACAAAAAGGAGGTGAAATATGAGGACATATGTGACGTCCTCATTTCTCAATAACCTTATAAATCCCACAGCATGAGTTTAATCAGAGAGTAATGTTGCACACAGTCTCCTGTGATGTTTGGGTTGGGTGGGGTGAGGGCAATATAATATACGGTTTGGACAGTATAAAATGAATGGAAAGCTATGTAAAGTCCCCACTTTTCACAAAAACAAACGTGTGTGTGTGTGTGTGTTTGCAATCTTATTTATTTATAAAATATAGATTTTTTTATAGGGCAGCATGGTGGCTCAGTGGTTAGCACTGTCGCCTCACAACAAGAAGGTTGCTGGTTCGAGTCCCAGCTGGGCCAATTGGCATTTCCCAGTGGAGTTTGCATGTTCTCCCTATGTTCGTGTGGGTTTCCTCTGGGTGCTCCGGTTTGGGAATTGGGTAAACTAAATTAGCTGTAGTGTGTGAGTGTAAGGGTGTTTCCTGTACTGTGCTGTGTAAACAATACTGAAATAGTTGGCGGTTTATTCCGCTTTGGCTACCCCTGATAAATAAAGGACTAAGCTGAAAGAAAATGGATGAATGAATGTTTTTTTATATATATAAAATAATCAACAATTGGTTTTGGTTTACATCTTAACGTCAATTTTGGTGGGTTTTCTTTTAAACACAACAAATTTTGTCTTAAATAAGCTTAAACAGTTACAGTGGGCAAGCAATCAAATGCTTTCATTATAGATCTGTGCATTTTTAAAGTGACACTGGTATTCAATGTAATCAACGAAAACTCTAAGGGCTCTATTTTGACGGTCCATGCACAGAGCGCAAAGCGCAGGGTGCAAACGCTTTCAGGGAGTGTCAGAATGCGTTTTTGCTAATTTACGGACGGGAAAATCTGCTTTGCGCCTCGGCGCATGGTCTAAAAGGGTTGAGTTTATTTTCTTAATGAGTTATAGGTGTGTTTTGAGAATAAACCAATTAGAGTCTCATCTCCCATTCCCTTTAAGAGCCAGCTGCGTCGCGCCAAGAGTGCATTCGCTATTTACAGGAGGCAAAGTAAGTCTAAGTGGAAAAAATTAGCATTTCACAAGCAAACAGTTAACAGTTAACAGTTTTTAACAGAAAACTGTTAAACAGAGCATCTACTGCGTGAGAATGAGAGATAATGGATCTACTTTCACTTTCGCTCTTGGATAGGGAAACCTTTATGCACAGACATCAACTAGTCTATAAATAAATACTTTTGTTTGTTAAGCGCAAATATTCATTTAAAAACTGTTTCTAAATTCAGTTCTAATTTCCAGCAAACGAATAAATGAACAAAATAGCAAAGTGTGCTCAAAAACCTGAGTTATATCCTAAAACACATGCTGTGCCCCATATGGTCTAAACCTGACAGGTGGGCAAATCTAAGCTTGTTTTTAATAAAACAAATATAAATATGGATATAATAAATAATACTGCTAATAATAATAACATTATACAAAAGCAAATTGTTATGAATGAACTGAAAAAGCCTCCCGAGATGAAGAAGACATAAAAGCAGTGATTTTTCATATTTATGTAGGCTAGAAAATAATATGTTTTGTAATATTTTAATCCTTCATATGTATATCATATATCTATTCTTATTATATCCTATATGTATCCTTAATATTAAATTTTTTTCATATGTAAAGATATTTGCCTATTGCTCTCTTGTGCGTATTAAGCAGTGTGTAAGCGAGGCACAACTCTGCGCCAGAGTTTAGACCGGGTTTGTTTTGGTCTAATGAAAAATCTATTATAGTTTCTCAAAATAGCAACGCGCCAGCAGTCCGCCTCAGAACACCTTCTTTTTTAGACCAGAACGCCTATGGGCACACAAATGAGCGCTAATGCATTTGCTATTTAAACAGCGTAGCGCAACGCCTCAAAACGACTCTTGCGCCAAGCTGAAACTACCAAAAGACTATTGCGCCGCACCTTGCGCCACATTGCGCCGGGTGTATGATAGGGCCCTAAATGAGCGATTAATTTTCTGCTCTTTAATCAGAATGTTAAAAGTATACAGTAAGGAGAAGGTTAATGATATTTAATAACTTTCTATTAATCAATTTCTCTATAATAGCTAACAAAACATATAACTGACCGTTTCAACTGTTTATTTACAATGAAACGGCTCCAGATGAACAGATTTAGAGACAGGAATGCCTGAGACTGACAGCTCTCTAATTAAAGATTATTGGCTATAGCTCCTCTCCTGAAAAACAAGTGACTTTCCAGCCCTTTGTGTCTTTCTGTCCCTAAAAAGATCTGCAAACGAGCGAGATCAGACAAAAGAGTGTGTCAATATCGCTGCAGCTCATGGAGACGGATGCCGCTGAATGAGCTACGCTGTTACGCTAATGGCGTCGCTAACCTCTCGCTCGAGGCCACTTCACTGAAGCCCTTTCAAGTGGCCATTTGATCCTCTGTTACAATTAAAGTTGTTTTGTTCTTCCGGAGGTGAAGGACAAAAGCAGGACGGATCTCTAAGAATGTCGGCTGAATTATCTGGAGGACGGTTGGCGGATGGTGGCATCGACTCTTGGGTTTTGTTGTTGTTAAAGATTGGGGTCGTTGTGTAAAAGGCACAACTGAAGGTGGTTTGGGTCGCTGAGTGTTAATGAACAAATCACTGTCAGGCTGGAAGAAGAGCAAAGTGTGTCTATGTTTAACAAGCTTACTAGTGTATTAGTACACTTTTAATGGGGACAGGGCGAATGTTGTGTTTTCAAGGTCATAATTCCCTACACACACACACACACACACACAAAATGAAAGATGTATGAATTCTTTTGCTGTAAGTATTTGAAATAATTAATTGAATATTCATTTTATTTTCGGCTTAGTTCCTTTATTAATCTGAGGTCGCCACCGCGGAATGAACCGCCAAACTATCCCGCACATGTTTTACATAGCAGATGCCCCTCCAGCTGCAACCCAGTACTGGGAAGCACCCATACACACACTTAATTGCACACTTACACTACGGCCAATTTAGCTTACCCAGTTTACATATTCCGCATCTCTTTGGACTTGTGAGGGAAACCGGAGCACCCGGAGAAAACCCACACAAACACGGGGAGAACATGCAAACTCCACATAGAAATGCCAACTGACCCAGCCGAGGCTCGAACCAGCGACCTTCTTGCTCTGAGGCGATCATGCTACCCACTGCGCCACCAAAATTGTTTCACATATACATAATAAATATATATACCACAAACACATATGTCAAAAAAAAAACATTTTGGATGTGATTAATAGCACAGTGGTTAGCACTGTCGCCTCACAGCTAGAAGGTCACTGGTTCGAGTTTTTAACTATTCCCACAAATACACCCATGCAACAAAAAATTTTATTTATTAATTAAATGCTAAATAAAAGTCAACAAGCAACAAATTAAATGTGCTACAACAAAAATTTTAATGATTCAAAATTAATTGATACTTTAAATCACACACACACACACACACACACACACACACACACACACACACACAGATTTATATATTTATTTATTCACCGGCCACTTTATTAGGTACACCTGTCCAACAGCTCGTTAACGCAAACTTTTGATCAGCCAGTCACATAGGATCATGCTTTTAAGCCCTGGTTAAAATGATCTGCTGCAGTTCAAACCGAGCATCAGAATGGGGAAGAAAGGTGATTTAAGTGACTTTGAACGTGGCATGGTTGTTAGTGCCAGACGGGCTGGTCTGCGCTTTTCAGAAACTGCTGATCTACTGGGATTTTCACGCACAACCATCTCTAGGGTTTACAATGAATGGTCTGAAAAAAGACAAAATATCCAGTGAGCGGCAGTTCTATGGGCACAAATGTCTTGTTGATGCCAGAGGTCAAAGTAGAATGGCCAGACTGGTTCATGCTGATACAGGGTGTCTGCAGGTTTCAAACCATAAATTTTTAAATTTTTAAAACCATGAAGAATGAAATGTCAGACTTATAAAGCGTTAAACGCTAAGGATTTTTTAAAATTGGCTTAGCAGAAATAAACAAAATCAAATGAGTTATTTCTTAGCCACATATTTAAAATAACGTATGAAAACAAACAGACCTTAGATTTATACATACATTTATACATTTCAACACAATTTAAAAAAAATAACTAAAAGCTGAATGTTTGCACAACAGACGGTTATCAGTATATTAATTATATATGAATAACTATATGGATAGTTTTGCTAAAAGTTTTGAGATGTATTGTTGGGGATAGACTGTTGGTTGGATCAATTGGGTAGCTTCACATAAACCCTGGAAACTTAAGACCCATTTAAAAGGATTTAAGACCTGCAATATAATATTTCAGTAAATTTAAGACGTTTTAAGGCCTAAAATTTTGGTATTTAAAATTTAAGACGATTAAAGACTTCTTAAGACCCCGCGGACACCCTGTGATAGAAAGGCCACAGTAACTCAAATAACCACACGTTACAACCGAGGTATGCAGAAGAGCATCTCTGAACACACAACACGGCCTACCTGAGTGTTGTTGCTGACCATGTCCATCCCTTTATGACATAAGCATAAGCCGTAAAGCATGAATCATCTCAGACTGGTTTCTTGAACATGACAATGAGTTAACAGTACTCAAATGGCCTCCACAGCCACCAGGACTCAATCCAATAAAGCA